AATATCTCTGAATTTTATTCGTAAATTAGGAATTCGACCTAGAAACTGAAAGGGATTTTTTTAAATATTGTGTGTTTATTCTCAAATGGCGCTCAAGTCAAGTTCTAACCTGTCTTGGATAGCTAAATACTTTGTCTTTCAAGAAAAAGTATCGATAAGTTTTGGTTCTTCTTTACACGCAAGCGCAAATTAAGTTTAGATTACTAATTTTAAGCCATTGCGATCGGCCATTTTGGTGACCGTCGAGTCGAAAATCGTTTTCCTCGGTTTTATCGAATTTAAAGCGCTTCGAGCTCCAAAAAACTACATCATATTGTATATCTACTTAGGGGCTATTTGTGGACAAAAAGAGAGAAAAATCGATTTTTCGACTTCTGCCGCCAAATTCAAATTTTGCTTGGTTTTTCGTGACATTTGCTCTTAAGACGTTTCAAACGGAAACTGTCTGTAAAGTGAACAATGGAAAAGCTTTCTTAATAAAGTAAAAGCTTTTCACTGCTGACATTGGCATTCAATGCTGGCTGCAACTCCTGCATAAATATGGTCTCCTTAACCTTACAATGGTAGTCAGTCTTGCCGGACGCCAAAATGTCAAAATTGTCCCATTTGTTTTAACGTGATCAGCAATAGCAGAAGAGTGATCATGGTTCGAAAGGGCCTTGAAATGTTCCGTTTTCCAGTCGTGAAGTCTTCGCTTCGTCATAAATTTCTACTGCAGATGTTCTCCTGTCTAGGTTCCAGACCCCCGCCGTTGATGCAATATGAATAGCTGTCCAAAATTTTAACGGTTATACTTTTGAAAATGTATGTTAACTAGCACATGAAACGTCAAGTTCATAAAATGCATGTTTTTAAAATGTTTATCACAGCTGTTTGTTTTATATTTTAATCAAGATGGTTTTTGTTCAGCCTTTCGGCCTTCATTGCATTTTATTATGTTCTATCCACCAACTTTGCTGTTATGGCATTTTAATCTTACTTGACATCTTCTATTTACCTTCCCCTTTCTGACAAAATCAGCAAAATCTAAATAAGCAACTTTAGCTACTTTACAGTTTCTTGTTCCTCTCTTCTCAGACCCAGGAACTCCTAAAAAGCCGAAGTGGAATAGGGTTATCAACCCCCCAGGGGGTACTTTACAAAGTTGTATATATCTCAACTTGTCTTGTGAAATCCCTACCCTTTTATATACCTCAACTTGTCTTGTGAAATCCCTACCCTTTCATATACCTCAACTTGTCTTGTG